ATATCAATTAATTCATGTTTATGGATATTAATTAAATCTAGTAATAGAAGATGATTCATGAGGCCAACGAATCATATTAAAATCCCCACCAATACACCAAGGTAGATTGGATCCATGGAAGATAATAGAAATTTTATTTAAGACAGAATACCTCATGGACACAAGGAGGGGAATTACGTTTTAGTGGAGCAAGGAGAATTGCCAATAGCTTTCAAAATGTGTATTTAGGCCATTTACATTTTTTTTTTTTTTTTGATTGGGTGTATTGAATTTTGGCCAAGTTTTTGTTTTTTTCCCTTCTGTAGTAGCCCTCCACGTAAAGGAGGGGTTCTATACATGCATCTTAATGTACTTTGGAAGCTGATTTTAATGAGAAAAACCGTTAATGATTCGGAAAAAGAAAAAAGAAAAAAAAAGAGATGGATATTTTAAGTGTGAATTGTGATTGGATCCCGAATTTGCAGTAAGCTCTCAAGGTATAACTCCAATAACAAGGGGAAAATACCTTAATCCCTAGTGTTATCACCGTCCAAAGAAATGATGAATGTCTAATTAAAGAAGAGGAGCAATTAGTTTTTTTTTTTTTTGTTGAGGTGAGCCAGTGGGGAAAAGGCCCCTAATCATCAAGCGCAAACTAATTAAGCCCTGGCTTTTCCTAGTAGCAATAGTATTTACTTATGGAAAAGTATATACCGATAGTATTTACTTATTTTGACATTTTTTGACGCATTGTTTTTGGATTTGGCAGCAAAGGATTTCTTAGGGTGCTTGCTAAGAATTCCTGGATATTGAATATGTCTAAAACATGAGAAAACAACATTGAATATGTCTAAATTTTTTTGTCAATTACCACATGAGAAAACCTCATTTTCTCTTGTTTGGGAATGGGGAACAGCGCTTGGAAATGCAGAGTCCCCGCATTTTTCTGTATTTTCATGTTTTTCCCCATTTTTATAAAAAACCGTTGTGCAACTCATTTCTCTAGAAAATTGAGAAATGCAAAACTCCCCTCAATCTCTTTTTTATTTTTTAACTTCACAATCTCTCTCCCCTTTCAATCTCGCTTTGCGTGAGCTCTACCCCGAGTTTTTTCCGGTTTTCATAGACAAGTAACCAAACAAGGGTTATCAAGAGATAGTAGAAAGACGATTTTTATCACTTGGATTCGGGTTATACCATAGTTCCAACCTGGATCACCAGTCCGACTAAAACTTGGAGAAGATACTTCAATAAAACAAGGCTTATTTTCAACCTTTTTTGGTTCTTCTTAATTCAGAAGATGTCTAATCTCATCCCAAACTGCTTCAGCAGCGGTTCATGAAGTGACCTGGCTAACCACATAAGAAGCATTTTGGTGGTCCTAGTTTAGATTATTGGTTATAGGGCTTAGTTCCTCTGTTTTTGAACTTATTGTTTCTTTTATTAAACTTCCCTTGAAATTTTTTGTTGTTAGGCATGAATTGACTAAAAATGGAAGGTCCTTGAGCAAGCATGAGCTCACTCCTTTTATCTTTGTTCATGTGCTCTTGCTCTAAGGCTAGTTGCGTAGGTAAGTCTTCTAAAGTAAAAGATTTTGCATTCAACCTAAGTGCAATTGTTATCATCCTCTATGAAGCTGGAAGGCTATTTAAGATTGTGAAAACTTGCCTATACTCAGGGATTTCATTCCAAGCAATGGCTAAGTCCTTAACCATAACAAGCATTTTGTTTACATGTTCTACTCTCTTATTACCCTTCTTCATCTTAAATGAATTATATTGCTCTAATAGCAATTGGGGGTGTGTTTTAGAGGTTGAGTCATATTTAGTTTTTATTGCCACCAGCATGCTCTTTGATGTTTCATGATGCTCGAAAACAGTAATAAAGTCATCTTGCATAAAAGTTAACATAGAAGTTTTTGCTATAAAGTCATCTTCTAAAAAATTTTCTAACTTTTTCTTTTATTCTTTAGTTGGTTTATCACCAACCACTGGTGGATCTTCTCTTAGTACATATATTATTCTATCTTTGATGAGGACATATTCCATCTTTCTCTTTCACATGCCAAAATTGTTTCCCTTCAATTTTTCAACTCTAAAAAGTTCAGCCATTAGAATTATATTGGCAATTTGCTAAGTTATGTGTGAACAACCTAATACTTTCTAAATTCTTAAAAAGCTAAACAGGCCACCAGAATTATTTATTATATGGTCAATAATATACAGAGAGTGGGCTTAGGCACACGGGACAGCAAAAAAAAGGCACAGATTTGAGATCATGAAAATTACAACAACACCAAGATCATTATAGCAACCGTGCTCTGATACAAATGATAATAAAGCTTGATGAAGCGTGGAAGAGACTACACCCGATATCAGAAAAGGGGTGCCATGAAACTGGTGATCGCATAGCTCGGATTTTTTATCTATTCACTTTTTAGAGAGAGAGTACACATTTTTCTTGCTGTTCACATCATCTCTCTGGCTTCCCATTTTATAGGGAGATGAAGAGGTAACCGTTGTATTTTTCCAGCGAGTCTTTGAAAAAACGAATGGGTTCCCTAATCTCCAACGGGTCTCTGAGAAAAACGAGGGATTACGTTCGTATGGACGTTGGACCATATGACCGTTGGATATATTGAATTCCCACAAATGTAGGCTAAGACACGTAAAGCCTCATAGTCATATGTGCCAACATTTGAACTACCGGATGAATCACACTAAACCAAGCTGATTTCCAAGTACTTAACAATTCCTATCCAAATTGGTGATCCAGATTTGGATTGAGGACTTTTAAATCACTTGATTATTTCGGGCTAAAACGCATTCATATTAGAGACATAACGAATTATTACTTAGAAACTCATCAATAAAAGAGCATGCCTTAACTTGTTTTAAGTCCATAGTTCGGTTTTCCAAGGGGAAAAAAAATGAAACTAACAAAAACAATGTTTTTCAATGCAATCGGAAAAAGTTTATATAAGGTTGCAACCTTAAAATTTAGAATTAAAGATGCACCTCAAAAATCCATTGGAAAATGTTATTTTAATGTTGAATAACCCTCTAATTGATCATCTCGACATTAAGATATATGAATGGAAAAAATAAAAAAATAAAAAAAATTATGAGTCTAAAAAATAATGCATATTGCAACGCATTATCTAGACTGTCTATTTTCAAGATTTTCATATGTTTATATATCTAGTTGATTTTAATTATTTTTTGAGTTTAAAATTTTATAATTAGATATGAAAATAGATTTTCAGATAATCTTAATAATTATTTACACCAAAATTACATGTTATCATAAAATTTGGAGGCGCTTTAATTGGATTGTTTAATGTAGAAACATTAAACAAACCACATCCTGTTGTATATAGTGGCATCAGTTTTCTACAAGATTCAGGACAAAAAAAAAAAAGAGAGAGAAGAAGAAGAAGAGAAAAGGCCAATAGAAATGTTGTATCTAAACTGCATTCGTGAAACTTCAAAGGGGAAACATTAAAAAGGAAATGGCACATTTGGTATTTCTAAATCAACTAATGATGGCCTTCCTAACCTTTTTGGTGAAAATTAGAAATTGTTACAGCACTAAGCACTGGCCGAGTTTGAGTATGTCAAAAACTCGGTCAAATCTACAAAAATGGAAAATTACAAAAATCTCTATTGACTTAACTTTCTTTATAACCTCTCTCAACCAATTTTTTTTATCGTTCAAAACTAACTTTTATAGCAAATATTCACCTAAGTTAAAAAGTCACAGTTCTTTTTACCAAAATGCCTTTCCCTTGGTCATTGAATGCCGTCGGCCCGGCCTTTTAAATGTGATTCGGCATATTGTTGCTGCAGTCTAGCAGTTATGAACCTCCGTCCAGCACCTGTAAATGTGGTCCAACAGTTTCGTCAGTCTGGCACTATGATGCCTCGATCCAACAGTTAATGTGGTATGAGTTCCGGTTCGTCAGTCCGGCACTTTTAAATGTGATTCAACATATTGTTGCTGTAGTCTAGCAGTTATGAACCTCCGTCCAGCACTTGTAAATGCGGTCCAGCAGTTTTGTCAGTCTGGCACTATGATGCCTCGGTCCAACAGTTAATGTGGTATGGGTTCCGGTTCGAAAATAAAATATGTGGGGCCGTCTTTGGTGAGTGAGCGTCTACGTAATATGTTCCGGCCAAGGCATGACTCGCATTTAAATTGAAGTCCGATTTAATCTTTATGACTGCAGTTTAGACAACCGTTTCAAATACATCTTGCCTTTGAATTTTGTTAGGAAAAGCAGGAGTTTGGTCCACTCGCTTCATATTTTTAAGGAAAAATCTATACATATGTAGGAAAAAGGCACGCCTCAAAAATCCATCGAAAAAGGTTTGGTTTTATCGGTGAAAAACCATCCATTTAGTCATCTTGGCCTCAAGATGTACAGATGTCATTAAAAAAAAAAAAAGATTTTAAAGTATTAAAAATAGTACATCATGTAATACATTATCTAAACATTTCATTCTCAAGATTGTCATGTATTATAGACATACTCAATCCATACCATTTTTAAAGTTTTAAATTTCATAATTAGATTTGAAGTAATCCTTGAAATCATCATTAAAATTTCCGACAACAAAATTACATCTTTTGATAAATTTTTGGAGGTGTGCCTTAATTGGATTGTTTAAAGTTGACACCTTATATAAACTACAACCTATTTTTAAAGCCTTCTCTTCCCTACTAAAAGAGTACATGCAGCATACTGAATGTAAACATGCAAACACTAGTAAATAACTCATAGCATAGAAAAAATTTCAACATTCTTTCAATTTCATGTAGATATGAAGTGATTTTCTGTTCCTGTTGGAAAAAACCCAATAAAATCCCTCTCTCGCTTTTGAGTTTCTATATAATGAAGAGGGATGGAGTAAATGGGGACCTTCACAAAGACTAAATAGCCCCTTCCCCACCTGCCTTAATAAATTGAACAGGCCATTTCAAACTATGACCCGAAAAGTCCATATCCCTTGAAACAGATAGAATCCCAATCACCCACACTATCCATTATGGAGAAGATTATCTTCCACTGGATGGTTCAGATTTTACAAAAGCAAATATGCCCTCCATATAACGGAACCAGAGGATTATCAAGGCAAACTGTGCACATTCACATAACTTTCAAATTGATGGATGAAGTCCCAAATATATTGTATTTCAGTGGAATAAATTTTCCTAAAAGATTCAGGAAAAAAGAGAAGTTGAAGAAAATCATTGTTGGAAAAAACCCCCATTTGCAGAATTTCAAAGGGGAAACCATAAAAAACAACGAAGTTACAGATTTTGTGTTGCAAGTCAACTGACATTGAACTTCCTAATCTTCTTGGGCAAGATCAGATCATCGTCACTGTCCGACTCTTCAATCTTTCGTTTCTTTGATGTCTTTGTAGCGTCCTTTTTAACTGAGCTGCTCTTTTGTGTGACCTGAGATGTTTTCTTTACAGAGACAGCTTTGATGGGCGAGCTCTTTTGTGTCAGCTGAGATGTTTTCTTTACAGAGACGGCTTTGAAGGGTGAACTTAATTTTTGTTGGTTCCCTCTCAGCTTTTTTGCATATACCTTCTCTGCTACCTCTTCTGGCAATAATCCCCTCTCCATCAACCTGAGAAGAAATCAAGTAGTGATCATTTTGGAATTTGTTCTCAGGGAAATTACACTATAATCCAATGAACTATGTAAACCATATTAAACATGAGTCTTCACTGTCCTATGAAATGATGGACAATCAGGGAAGTGAGGGTATATCCCACCACTAGAATGGGTCATATATTCTGGTGGGTCCTGATCTCTCTCCATCATCACACATCAGTTCATTGGATGGTTAAGACCCAAACAGACTATGACCATCACATCATCCGATATGTTGCAATGTTTCCTGTAACAACAAATTAATCTATAAAGGAAAAAGTTGATACAAGGATGCAACCTTAGAATGTGGAACTATGGATGCACCTCTAAAATCCATCAGAAAATGTAGTTTTAATATTGAAAAACCCTTTGATTGATCATCTCGACATCGAGATGTATGACCATAAAAAATAAACAGATTTCAAGTCTCAGAAATAGTGCATTTTACAATATATTATCTACACCGTCCATTTTCAAGATTTTCATATGTTTATAGATCTAC